CCCAGCCCGAGGTGAGGGGCTCTGAGATGATGGTTGTGGTCATACCCCTCTGATGTCCGCAGTTTTTGGCTCCAGCTGCTTGTGGGACCACTCTTAGAGGTGGCGACAAAGCCGGGGATAACTTCAAGCTTAGAACCCTTCCATATGGATTCTCCTCTTTGGTCCTAACACCCAGTCTGTGAGGCAGAAAGGGCAGAAAGGATTCTCCCCTTTCACAAATAGGAGAATCAAAACTCAGAGACTCTGACTTGCCCAGAGCGAAGACTCTGCCAGCCAGGTGGTCTGGCCTAGAATGTGAGGGAGGGGGAGGCTCCAACTGGGGCGGATATTCCCCTGCCCCCACTCATGCCTGCTCCAGTGACAGTTAGGGCAACTTCCCCATGGCCTGGCGGGAGGAGTCTCACTTCCTGCTCCAAAGGGAAGAGTCCACTGGCAACACAGTTGCTGGCTCTGCTCTGCCCTGCTCACTGCTGTGGAGCCCTTCACGTGGCGTCGAGGGTCCTAACACTGGGCTGAGCACAGGTCCTCCGTCATCAACGGAGACCAGCTGCAAGCCAGGCCCCGGGGACGTGAGGCCCCGTGGGCTAGACCAGGAGCAGGGTGGGCAGGTGAAGAGGGGAGGGGAGAGTTCCAGACAGTGGGTCCGAGGGGAAGGTTAACAATGGTACCCGAGGCTTGCAAGCTGGAGCAGAAGCCAGACAAAGAGCCCCAGGGCTTGTGTTCTGAGGAAGGCAGGCTGGCGCTTTCCCAGGCAGCCAGGAACATTTGGGGAGGAAATGATTCCAGACTTTGGAGGCGGGTGAAAGGAGAGCCCTGGAGAAAATGCGATGACCTTTACCCTTTCTTCTCCAGATAAACTCTGAACTGCAAGCTCCTCCGACCCAGGTGTTCCGGGTCCCCACAAAATAGAGCTGGACCTCGAGAGGCTGTGTTTTAGGGCTGACACTGGTATGGGCGCTGGTGCCGGAGGGGGCGATCCCCTGGGCAGCTGCCTGGGCTCACTCCCTGGCTTTCCCAGAGCCGCCTTCATAGGGCCTGTCACAACAAGGTGACCAGAGGAGTTATCTGTGTCCTGCAGTCACGATTAAAGTCTTTAAAAAATTGTGTCTGAATCTCTTTAAAGAGGTCAGGTCCAGTGAGGCACGGGCCCCGGGCTCCGCCTGTGTGTCATGAGAGGACTTTGTCCCCAGCCTCAGAGTGTGCTGTGAAAACAGGCACGTAGCTGTGGGACCAGGCCAGTGGCACGGACTCCCTGCTTGCTTTTGGGAGCAGTTGGTGTCTGTGGGTAGCAGCTGGTGCTTTTGGGCCATTTTGGGGTCTATGCCTTCAGACTGTCCCTGGGCCTGCAGGACCCTTTTGGTAAACTTTTGTGGCTCCTCTGAGCTGTGGTTTAAGGATCCTCCCGTGGGCAGCCTGGGCAGGCAGCCCTATACCTTAGACCCACCTTGAGCCCAGGGCCACAAAGTCCCCCATAGGGTTAGGGGCCCATCCTGTGCTGAGTTTGCCTGCCAGCCCTGCTGCCCCCACACCAGTCCCCCCATTTGACCAACGGCAGATTTGTCAGCTCAGTGTTTGATTTCTTTTATTGAGAGAAAAATCACCACTCAAGAAAGGAAAAACAGCCAAGAGAAACCCAGCTCACGCAGGCAGGGGGCAGCACTTCAAGTACAAACTCCCAGCTGCACCCGGAGGGCTGGAGGGGCGGGCCCTCTGGGGCGAGGAGGGCATGGTGGAGGTGACCTGGTGGGGGTTTGGGGTGGGTGGTGCATGGGGTTCACGCTTACTGCTCCTGGGCCAGGCCTGCAGCACTGGGAAGCGGGGAAAACCCAGAAACTGCGCAGGGACTGGGCTTGAGCCCCCAGCGCTGAGGCTGCTGGGCAGAGAGGAGCAGCCGGGGAAGAGGCCACCCCCCGGGGCTAGGGCAAAGGGTCTGGTCCGCTTCTGCAGAGCCCAGACTGCTGGCGTCGGCTGTCCTTGCAAGATTCTGTCTGGGGACAGGAGGGTGATGCTTTTTGTTTGTTCATTCTTTTTAAAGCCCTGGGCACTGGCCCCTGACAGGATTCTTGGTTAATTTCATTAAAGCTTTGGTGCTCAACTGGTAGGCCAGGGGGAGGGTTTGGGGCAGCCTCCTCGGGGGCCTCTGCAACATGGTGCAGCCCCCGCCCCTCCCCACACTCCCCACCCTGCAGGCAGGGTCCGGGAGCTGGGACTGGGCCAGCAGCAGGCTCAGGTGATGAGGACAGGCAGGGAGGGGGCGTCATCAGCCCAGCCAGCAGGACCAAGGCCCCTGAGACCCGAGGCCTCCACGCCAGAGGAGGGGCGAACGCACCAGCCCAGGAGGTGCGCCGCAGGGAGGCCACGGGGCCTTCACGCCCCCAAGAGCTTCTTGACCATGTAGCCGGGCAGGCTGTAGAGGAAGAGGGCCAGCATGAGCAGCCCCAGCAGCGCCAGCACGATCTTGATGATGAGCCACTTGTAGCGCGTGCAGATGAGGTACTTGATGGACTTGAGGGGGTTGAGGAACCAGACGAAGGCTGTGTCGGGCCGGCTGGGGGAGGGGGAGCTTTGGTCAGACGGGGGCACCTCCAAGACACCCCGTCCCCTCAGCCCTTCTGGACCCCAAGAGGGGCCCCTTTCTGGCTGCGGTCCCTACAGTAGCGAGTGCTGCAGCGAGGATCTGAGCCCATCTCTGAGCACCAGGTTTGCGACCTACATTCCCTGTCCTCTCTCTGGGACCCTCCGGTGCCCCACCTCCTTCCAAGGCTGAGATGGCATTTCTGGCAGCTGGGCAGCTGTCACTCAACCTGCACACTCGCAGCCGGCCGTCTGCTTCTGAGGAAGCTCCCCTATCAAGTAGTTCACTGTGTGGTCCCGTGTTTCCCCACGTTCACAGTGAGATGGGTGTTTCTCAGCCTCTCTCTCTTTCTGCTTCAGTCCCCACCAGGCCCTGCCAGGGGTCTGCGGAGCCCGGGTGGGCACAGTCCCCCACATTGCTCTACCTTCTGCAGGGCCTCCTCGCCAAGAAGTGCCTGTGGACCTTACATTCTGTTGATCGTGTTACAAAAACAATAGGTTCTATAAAATGTCAAGATGGACAATCAAAGCACTGAATATATTTCTTCAAACTCCTGCCCAACCAACTCCTCCAGGGCTGCTCAGCGTGGGTGGGGCTGCAGAGCAGGGGCTGGGGCAGGGGTGCAGGGCAGCTGGTTTCCAGTCCCAGCCGTGACAGGCAAGTTAGGCACTCCTTCAAGCCTCAGTTTCCTCACTTGTACCACGGGGTTAACCTCTGAGGTTGGTGAAAGGGTTAAGTGAGAAAGATCATGTGAAGCTCTCAGCCCAGCCCAGCGCCAGGTGGTGCACCGCATGTGCTGGTTACTAAGATGTTTGAATGGGGTGGAGCTACTCACTGTCCTGTGGGGCAGAAAAGGGCTCTGGGTTGGGAGGAGGATGGTGGTAGAAACTGCTCAGGACTTGCTGGCTAATCCTAGCCAAAGCCTTTCCCCTTTCCTGTCCATAGCTCAACTTTTTCCTCTCAGTGGAATTGGGTTTGAATCTGCCTGAATGTCTCTGGGAGAGGAGTTGGTGCAGTGTGAAGGACATTGGAATGGCAATTTGGAAACCTAGCCTGAGTCATAGCTCCACTCTGATTTGCCAAGTGGCTTTGGGCAAGCTACCTGTCCTCTTTGGCCTACTCTGGAAATGTGCACGACAGTCATTGGCAGTTCTGAGTCTATGATATCGTTCAAAAGCTTGAAAGTTGCTGTGTGTCGACTTATGTGTGTACTTGCGTGTGTGTGTTCTACCTGCTGCCCAGCTCACAAGCCCTAGGTCCAGGAGGAAGGGAGGAGTACCAGACCCAGGAAGATGCCGGGCTCAGGCCCCAAGGATCTTCTTGACCAGGTAGCCAGGCACAGAGTAGAGGAAAAGGGCGAGGAGGAGGAGCAGCAGTGCGAGCAGCAGCACTTTGAGGAGCAGCCAGCGATATGTGTGCCACAAGAAGTAGCGGGCAGACTTGAGGGGATTCAAGAACCAGATGAAGCTCGTGTCAGGCCGGCTGGAGCAGCAAGAGGAGCAGAGGGAACATGGAGAAAGGACACAGAGGATAAGGGCTGGGGTGCAGCCAAGATGGGGGCTGACCCTCAGAGGAGGACAGAATTCCAGGCACCTCCCCAGCCATCAAGGCTGCCTGGGACCTCAAATCCACCACGGCAGCTGCATGCCTTTGGCACAAACTAGGAACGGCATTGAACTCAGCTGAGTGGGGCCCTCCCTGTGGGAGGTGCTGCTTCCCTGTACCGGTTGCCCATGGTCTGGTTCAGAGGGAGGTGGTGGATTTGGGGGTGGCGGGTGGAGGAGAGGAGGGAGGAAGCTCTCCTGCAATGAGGCCGTGGCCTAGGAAGGGATAGAAAGGGCAGAGATGCCTCCAGAGTGGGGTCAAGAAGACCAGAGAGTTCTGGCCTGTCCTTCCTGTTCCAGTGCCCCCAGGGAGCAGCATGGTAGGCGCCCGGCAGGCAGGGCACTCACTTGGGTTTCTCTAAGGGGTCAGGTTCATTGCGGGCCAGGCCCACTGGATTCTTCTCTGCCTCCTCAGCAGTGAGTAGATGCAACTCCGCCTCCACCTTGCCCTGCAGAGATGAACAGATTGGTTCTTGTGCCCGGGCCAGGTGCCAGGTCCTCAGCGCCCCAGCCTGGCCCAGCCCAGCCCAGCCCTGCCCAGCCCTGCCCCCTGCCGAGCAGTGGTGGTGCCCACCGTGAGCTCAAACTCATCGTTCTCATTGCGGGCCAGGAGGGGCCACCAGCCTTTGACGCGCTTCTGCTTGAAGATGGAGACCAGGGGCACGTCCACCTCCCCTGTGGCCATCTCCATGGTGCACTGCTTGGCCGTTTTTGCGCCCCGCGGGAACCGGTTCAGGTCCAGCTCAATGGCCCCTGTAGCAACCTCAGAGTCAGCTCTGACATCCTGTCTGATTGATCCCCCCACCCAGGGTGGGCTCACCTTGTCTCTGCCCCCCTCATCTCTTGCCCACTCCCCTCTGGTCCCGGTCCCCTAGCCCCGCACCCAGGAAGTCATCGGCAGAGAAGTGGTCAGCATCCCAGATCTGCAGGGTGAGCCGCGCGGGGATCTTGTATTCGGTCTCGTCCCAGGAGAACATGGACTCCTTCTTGGAGATGACAATCTTTTCCTCGGCAGCCAGGTAGTCGAAGGGGAACAGGTAGCGCCAGTTGAAGTTGCCCTCGCCGGTGAGGGAGTGGTAGTGGACGTCCGTGTCCTGCTTGTCTTCCTGCTGACCCTTCAGCCACCTGTGGGGCATCACCTGCTCCAGACCTGTCGCCACACCCGGTAAGGCCTCTCTCGACCCACAGCTCCCCTGCCCGCCCCCTCCTCTCCTGCTTCCCAGGAAGGTGGGCTCACCCAGCTCAGCCCCTTCCCAGCCAGGAGCCTCTCACCCACCCCCGCACAAAAATGTCACTGGACTTCTCCCCGGTGAAGAAGTCATCATCCTCCAGGACCACCTCATCTGTATTCCACACAATGACCCGTAGCTCGTACCTGGGCAGGGAGAGAGCCTGATTAGCAGTCTGGGGGTGAGGGTTACCCCAGGGTCTTGGGGCTAGGATGGGGCTGGAGAGCAGATGGCTGGGACAAGTCCTGGGGACTTGGGGTGGGCCTGGGGCCTGGGCCAGGCTGGAGCTGAGCATGCAGGTGCAGGGAGAAGCTGAGGGAATGGGGACATATGGGGACCCTGGGTAAGAGAAAGACGGTCATCCAGCCAGCCTGGCTGTTGTGAGGAGAGCCCCAGGTAGAGGGGAATCAGTTTGGCTGGAACACCAGGACCCAGAACACACTCCTGGACAGGGAGGCTGACTCAGGTCTCCGAGATGCTGCCTCGGGAGGGGAGGGACTGGCTGCTGGGGGGTGGCTGAAGCGAGGCTTGGAGAGTTGGGAGCAAGATCCCCCATCTCCAGAGGCCAGAAGCTCCACTCCAGATGGCAGTGGACCACCATGGAATCTGGTCTTCTTTACATTATTGTCCCCAAAAGGGATTTTCCCCAGAAGTGTGATTGTCATGATCAGTGAGGTAGTTACATTTCAACCATTAGGAGTGAGGTAGAGTCAACCACTAAACATGGACTGGAGCGTGACTCTCCACAGAGTTATGCCCTGGACTGCACGTCCTGGTGACACAATGAGTTGGGGTGTCCCCCTCGTGGCGGGCCCTGGAACAGCATATGTGGGGTCCCACCTGGAGGCTATTCCAGGCAGAATTGGCTGTGTAATTTGCAGAGCCCAGTGTAAAATGGAAGCGTTGGGCCCTTGGTTAGAAAATCATTAAGAATTTTAAGACTGCCATCTTGAAATAAGCGTGGTGCCCTGCGCAACTTCTTAGGTCTGCGTGGTTGGCCCTGATTACAGGCATTGAGGCCAGTGCTGGCAATGATTTGGTCCTGCTGCTTTACAGATGGGAAAACTGAGGGCCAGGGAGGCAAACTGTCAAGCAGGAGAGGCAAGTGGCTTGGCTCCTGACTCAGTGCTCTTTCTACTCTCCCACCCACTCACCTCTGGGCACTCCCCCTGCACATCTCATCAGCAGATGCTTTAAATAAAACTTGGCAGAGCTGCATGACAGCCCGAGTGGGGATGGTCAGGGAGCAGAGCAGGCTCTCAGGGGTTCTGCGTCTTGTGGGTGTGTGCGTGTGCGCGCGCGCGTGGAGGGGTGGGTCTGTGAGGATGAAGTCCTCATCGTCCTCACTGACCGCACAGTGGGGGTGTGGCTCCTGTCTCAGCCAAGGGGACTCGCCTTGGGTGGGCCCCACAACCTTCTTGAGGAGTTGCTCTGTTCCCACCTATAAGGCCACATGGGACTGACTAGGTGACCTGGGCCTGGAGCCTCCTGCAGAAGGGACACCATGGGGAGCAGGGAGGAAGGGGTACTGGGTCCGAGCAGCTCACTTCTTGGGCTTCCGTGGGGAGATGTCCAGAGGTGTCCCAGGAGCTGGCATGTCCATGGGAAACATGTCCACCCACAACTCCAGGCGGCCCTGAGGAAGGAGGTCGTGGCAGGTCTTCTCACAGACTCCTCCCTCTGCTCAGCAAGGCCAGTTCTCCTCTCCCTCCCAGCCTTTGTCCTGTCAGGGCCCATTTCATCAGTTTGCATCCTGGGATGCCAGCCATTCCTATGACGTCACCAATAGCCAGTTGCAATCCCAGGTCTCCACCCTAGCTGATGGAATTCTCACTCAAAGCTAAGACGTAAGCGGTGAAGGGCCATGGTGTGTGTGTGCGGGGTGAATGCAGTGAATAGCATGAGGACCTGTTCTCATGGACCCAGGCTGGGACTTCCTGATCCCAAATGCCGGAGAACCTCAGCGCCCAGCCAGGGCAGTCACCTGCTCGATGCCCGGCTTGTCAGGGTTGAGCAGTGGTCGCGTCTCCACGTGTTCGGGCACCAGGCGGCAGCCCACACGGGGGATGTCTTCCCAGTGCCTCAGGGCCAACAGCGCCACGTGCTCCTCCGTGGGCTTCCTCTGACCTGTGGGTGCCGTGGGTCAGCTGTACCCAGAGGCTCAGCAGAACAAGAGACCTGTGCTGGGCCAGGGACACAGGGGCAAAAAGGCCCCACCTCCAGGTTACTGTGGGGGAAACTGAGGCACAGAAGGAGACGTGGATGGCCCAAGCTCTTAGCTGCCGCACAGGCCGACAGAGGTCTGTGTCCTTGGTTTCCTCTGCCTGGGGAATTTGACCAGAGAATCTTTCTGGGTTGTGAGGTCAGGAAGAAGAACCCAAATCCTGTCCCAGCACCTTGAAGGTGGTGGTTTCCTGGCAGAGACACCTGCCGATTTTCTGGGAAGTGCTATGGGGGCGAAGGGATGGGGAAAACCAGTGCAACCCAGGCCCACACCCTCACTCTGCCTCCAAAGAGCTGTGTGACCTTGGGCAAGTCTTTGAAACCCTTGGGTCTCAGTTTTCTCATCTGCAGAATGGGGAGAACCTCCCTACCCCACAGGAATGCTAAGGAGAGGAAAGGTAACAAGTGGGCACGGCTGTGTGGGGTGGCGTGGAAGGGCAGAGGCTGGGTGGACAGAAGGGGGATGCTAGGGTGATGAGCAGGGGTCGGTCCCACCACAGGGAAGTGTGGGACACTCCTTGGCCTCTGACATCCCCATGGTTGCATCCGGCATCCTGTTACCGTTCTCGTCCTCGATCTCGGAGGGTCCTGTAAAGACGCGGTTGGACACCTTCACTCTCCCAGGGGGCCCGAAGTGGGGGCCGTCCACTTTGCCCTCCTTGCAGAGGCGGGTCAGGATCTGGCTGGGCTTCATGGGGTCCCGCCAGATATTGTAGCCATGTCTGTGGGAGGAAACACACAGGCTTGGTGGGGGCTCAGGGTGCGGCTGGGCCATCCCTGGGTGGCAATGGTCCTGGCCAGTTCTCTTAGGTTGGCCGTTGCTCCATGTCAGTAAGTGATCCCTGCCCTGTGTTCCAGGATTGGCTGAGACACTAGGGCTTCCTGCCTGGGCTTTGGCCCCACATGCTCAGTGTCCCAAGGATGAGCATCCAGTCTCCCCCAGTGCAGGCTGCACCATTCCCCTACTGTGTCCACTCCTCCGGAACTTCAAAGACTCCCTGAGGAAACTGATCATCAGAGTGGTTAAGGGGCTTGACCAGGGTCACATAGCCCATTGGTGCCACAGGCCGGCCAGATCCCCTGTGGACTCTTCCCAGCACGCAGTGCTGCCCCTCTTCCTGGCCCATTTTTCTCTCCTCATCTTGTCCTCTCTGTCCTGGAATTCCCTGGCTCTCTGTCTTGGAATCTGTAGTCCTGGCCCCCGAGGCTGAGCCCAGAGCCTGTAGGGGTGGAGGCCTGGCTGGGACAGAAATCATAGTAAGTTTCCCTTCCCAAACCACATGGTCTGAATCTTCTTTTTAGAGTCAAGGTGCAGCAGATGCGATCGGCCCTGCCCCACCCCACGCACGTGGAGTAGGTCTGGGCGATGCCACAGGTGGCGCGGTGCTTGCTGTAGAAGCGGTTCTCCAGGTCAATCTTGGTTTCCCCGATGAGGTCGTCAGTGCCTACCAGATCCCAGTCGTACACGGCCACTGTCAGCATGGATTCCATGGGGAAGGAGGCCTCGATGTCAAAGGACCTGGTGGAAGAGGATTGGGAGAAGGGTTGAGGGTCAGGGTGGGGTGGGAGGTAGTCTGGGCTGAGGAAGTCAGGGTGGGGTGGCGGTGGGCAGCAAGAGGCCTTACTTCCCAAAGACAGGGTTGAGCTGCTTGGAGATGTAGTTCTCCTTGTCACGGATGTCAGTCTTGCCCAGCCGGATGGCGATGTAGGGGTCGGCTTTGCCATTGATGTCTGCAGGGTGCAGGTCTGTGGCCTGGGATGGAGGGGTGGTCCTGAGCAGGCTCCCCACACCCTCCTCATCTTCCAGTGCCCCTGCCCCTCTCCCTGATGGCTCCATGATGGTGAAGGGCAGGAGCACTGGACCAGAGACTTGTGTGACCCCAGGCAAGATGCCAACCCTCTCTGGGCCTTGGCTTCCTCCTCTATAAATGATGGGAACCAGACTAGCTGACCTCTCTGGTGCCTCCCAGTTGGAGGCTGTCAGTTTGCCACTGCTTCGGCACCTCCGGGGCAGGAGGACTGGGGGGCTGGGGGGAGGGGATGTGAGGGAGCGCTCACCCGGACCACATAGACTCGGACCAGCACGCTGATGGGATCATTGCTGGGGATGCCCTGGAACATGCCATAGGTAGGGTCATAGCCGGCTTCCCGAGACACGTCCTCTGGGAGGGGCACTTTGTACACGCAGAGGGAGCCCTGGGGCAAGGCAAGCGTGGGTCAGGGTGCAGGTTCCCATGGGCACAGGCAGGGTTGGGCACTCAAAATAGCCAAGAGCACTGAGGGTCTGCACCCTGCTGCGGTGGGGCCTTAGCCCTTCAGTTGCTGGATCACAGGGAGTCAGGGTTTCTGGAATGAGTGGCCGGGGAGGAAACTCTACGAGAGGAGGGGTGGGGAGCTGGGTTCAGGGCAGATGCTCTTTGTCAATCAGCATGGAAGTATTTTCATATTTTATCAACCAGGACAGCTGACAGTTCCACCTGGCTGTCAGCCATGGGCCTGGGGTAGGGAGAAGAGCCTATAGGGGCTCAGGACTCAGGGCCTGGGGCTCAGGGGCTGGGCCCGCGCTCCCTGCCTGACCTTGAACCGGCCAACGATGCGCTCCTCGTCAGTCGAGCCGTCCTCGTCATCCCCCGTCTTGCCTCGCAGCAGGTTGAAAGTGTGCAGCCAGTCCTCGAAGTTGTCGAACTCTGACTCCAGCTCCTTGGGGTACACCTGAGCCAGGCCCGGCCGTCAGGGGGCAAGGCCGGTCCACGGGCCTCTGTCTTGCCCCATTTGCCACCTGGTGCCCACACCCTGACAGCGTCTGCTTCCAGACCCTCACCTTGAGCTCATCAATCTTGGGTTTCTTCTTCTCGGGGGCCTCAGACGCCTGACCAGGGCCCAGGCTCTGGGTTCTCTTCTTCTTCTCCTCCTTTGCAGCCCTTGCCTTCTCCTTGCCCTTCATCAGCCCCTTCAGGCCTAGTCAGAAACAGACAAGCAGATGGAGATGATCTGAGCAGGAAGGCCTGGGTTGGAGACCCAGCTCCAGTGCTTTGCTAATTTAACTTTGCAGGTCTCGGTGTGCTCATCTGGAACATGCAGACAACGCCGCCTGGCATGCCTGCCTCGCACGGGGCAGGGCACCAGTATGCGGGGAATGTGCAAAGACTGTTGCGTGCCCTTTGACAGAGAGGGGCATGGAAGAAGCTTGGCTCTGGTGCCAGCTTGCTCTCCTCCCTGGCCTCCGTCTACCTGTCTGTAACATTAAGAGGATTGTTCTGTATCAGCATTTTCCAAACAGCATTCAGTGGAACACCAGGTGCAGGAGTTCTTGGAATGATTTAAAAGAAAGGATATGTACATATACACACACAAAATAAGTTGGGGAAATAATTTATTCTGTGTCTTCCTTTTAGAGATTTATAATAGCATTTGTATACTAAAGGCACTGAGAAGTCCTGTGCCCAAGGACCTGTTTAACCCATTTGACCCAAGAACTCTCTTTTCCCTTCAGAATACCCTTTAATAGGGTTCCATGGAAAAGATCTAGAAATGCTGCATGGAATGAGCTCTGAGGTCTCTTCCAGCTCTAATGCTCTGTGGCGCTAAGTGTCTGTCCATCATTCTGCTGAAATGATCAGAGTAAAAGCCACAGTAGATAAGGGCCTCAGCCTGCTTCCTGGTGGCCAAGGATGCCTGATATCTGCTGTTGGCTGCTGCAGCTTTAGGGACCCACAAGAAGGGGAAAGAGAAGCAGCCAGGGTGCAACAGGCAGGAGAGCTACCCATCCCGCAGAGATCCAGGGCTCCAGGGCTCACCCTCAGTGTTGTCCATCTCCTCTTTCTCCTCCAAGTCAATTCCTGAGGCCTCTTGCTGTCGAAGTTGCTGCCAAAAGATGAGATGAGGAACAGGGAAGGCGGGCTTCCTGGGGAAGGGTCTGTTAACCCCACACTGTGGTCTCAGACCAGTCTTAAATGCTTAGAAGCAGAAATTCTTTCCTACTGGGTTTCCAACCCAGTAGGGGTTGAAAGTTGAAAGCTTAAGTGGGTTAAAAAAGTTCATGATGTGTACAATATGGCTTAACTGTACTTAGCTGTTTATGATTCTTTAAATTGTGTATCATTGAAAAACATGTGCCCTTTAAGGTTGCTTCTTAGTGGTATTTTTTTTAATGTAGAAAAGTACAACTGAATAAGAAAATGTGCTTCATGTTCTCCTAGGGCAGTCTACCCGGACAATAGAAATACAAGTAAAAATAAACAAATGAAACTTAATTAAATTTATAAGTTTTTGCATAGCAAAGGAAACCATAAGCAAAACAAAAAGACAACCTATGGAACAGGAGAAAATATTTGCAAAAGATGAGACTGACAAGGGCTTAATTTCCAGAATATAAAAACAGCTTATACAACTTAATGATAAAAAACAAACAACCCAATCCAAAAATGAGCAGAAGACCTACACAAGCAATTCTCCAATGAAGACATACAAATGGCCAATAGGCACATGAAAAAATGCTCAATCTTGCTAATTATCAGAGAAATGCAAATCAAAACTACAGTGAGGTATCACCTCACACCAGTCAGAATGGCCATCATTAAAAAGTCCACAAATGATAAATGCTGGAAAGGGTGTGGAGAAAAGGGAACCTCCCTACACTGTTGATGGGAATGTAGTTTGGTGCAGCCAGTATGGAAAACAGTATGGAGATTCCTCAAAGAACTAAAAATAGATTTACCATATGATCCAGTAATCCCACTCCTGGGCATATATCCGGAGGGAACTCTAATTCGAAAAGATACATGCACCCCAATGTTCATAGCAGCACTATTTACAATAGCCAAGACATGGAAGCAAACTAATGTCCATTAACAGATGACTGGATAAAGAAGATGTGGTATATTTATACAATGGAATACTACTCAGCCATAAAAAATAATAAAATAATGCCTTTTGCAGCAACATGGTTGGAACTGGAGATTGCCATTCCAAGTGAAGTAAGCCAGAAAGAAAGAAAAATGACGTAAGATGTCACTTACATGTGGAATCTAAAAAAAAGACAAATGAACTTATTTATAAAACAGAAACAGACTCACTGAAATAGAAAACATACTTATGGTTACCAAGGGGGGAAAGGGGTGGGAAAGGATAAATTGGGAGTTCAAGATTTTCAGATACTAACTACTATATGTAAAATAGATAAACAACTAGTTTATACTGTAGAGCAGAGGGAACTATATTCAGTATCTTATAGTAACCTATAATGAAAAAGAATATGAAACAAATATGTTTATATATATGTATGCCTGAACTATTATGTTGTACACCAGAAATTGTACATTGTAAACTGACTATACTTCAATTAAAAAAAAAGAAGAAAATGTGCTTCAGTCAGTATACACTGGACACTAACTAAATCACCAGGTGTCAACCAAGGTGCCACTGCCACCTGGTGGTAGCCTGTGCAAATTACAGGAACAGACACAAGGCAGCCTCTTGGAGCTCCTGCGTGGCCAACCTGAATCCAGGAGGTGATGGTGGGAGAAGATGCCACTAGGTGTCCCCCAATTTTCTTCTCTCCTGTTCTTCAAAAATTTTCCTGGGCACACAGCCACGTAGCTAAAGATTACGTCTCCTAGCCTACCTTGCAGCCAAGTGTGATTAAGGATCTAGATTCTAGCCAATATGAGTGAAAGTGATATTTGCAGCTTCCAGGTTGGGGATTTAAAGGGAAAGGAGTATGCCTCATCTTGACAATTCCTGTGCACTGGTATTGAGATGTGATGGAAAGCCATCTCTAACCATACAGATGCCAGTAACAAGATGGCAGGATATTGGTCCCTGACACCATGGAATCACCATACCACCTTCTTCTTGTTCACACCAATCTAACTTACTACAGCAGCTTAGCCTGTGCTCTGACTAATGTGGATGGTAAATATCACACAGCTTGGGTCACAGAAAGGGCCTGGGGGCAGAGTGTGGCTGGATCAGCTTGGCTGAGGAAACGCAACCACAGGCACATGTTCCTCCCAGTCAGTCGGTCAGTCGGTCAGTCAGGGAGTGCCCTGAGCTAGGTTGGCAGTGTGGAGAAGAGACAAATGAGGAAGAGGAGAAATGCACTTTCTGGAAATTGCCATCTGGCTCAGCAGACAGAACCCAAGTGCACACAATAGGGGAAGAAAGTTTCACAGCGAGGTGTGTAAAATAAAGTAGCATTAGGTGTTAAATAGTAACAGATGTGCAAGTACTACTGAGACGTTGTTCCCTTTTGGCCTCTGAGTGCATGTTTCTCTTCTTCCTTAAAGGTCACCTCCCCTGTGAAGCCTTCCCTGACTCCCCCAGGCACTGAATTGCCTTTGTTATCACACCGCGATGTATCTGCTTACATGTCCATTTTGCATGTCCAGGAAATACCCATGGCAGGTATGGCATCTTATCTTTAGGCTCCCATAGCACCTAGGTTGGTGTTTGATCATATATACTCAAGAGATATTTGTGCAATAAATGAATGAAGACAAGAGAAAACCAAGCCAGGGAAGGGGGACTGGCCCTCTATCCTGGAAAAGTTGAGTCCTGAACTAGAACTTCAAGGCTGTGAGTCAGGCTGTTCCAAGCTCATGTTGATGGAGTAGGGGGCGGGAAAGAAGCTGGACTGAAGGGTCTGTGTGGAGTTGGGGGGTCACCTCAGCCCCCAACCCCGGCCCGAGGCCTCACCTCTTTCATGGTATCGATGGAGGCGAAGTACTTGGACCACCAGTCCAGCATGCTTTCATCCGGCTCCTCCTCCTCCATCTCTTCTGAGCTGCCCTTCTTCTTCTTCTTCTTCTCCTTCTCCTCATCAGCCTGAAGGGTTGGCGAGGTCCGGAGTCCTGCATACATCCCTGCGCCCTGGCCACTCCCAGAGCCCTAGACCATCTGGGAGTCCCCCATCCATTCTGACCATCTGCTCCCTGGAAGCACTGGGCTCCAGGAGGCTCTGGGGGGCCACCAATGTCAAAGGGGCAGGGCCTTGTTTTGTGGAAATGGATGTCACGGCCCACAGAGGGTCATGACCTGCCAACGTGAACCACCAGCCAAGGCAGA